AATGTTTCACTACTTATCCAAGTAGCTTCTTCAGTCTGAAGAAAGCTTGTAGGAGACCCCTGATATGTCCTCCATTTTGATTTCACTCCCCCCTGGTCTGAATAGGCTCATTAGATGGACAAAGGATGGGGGGGGGTTGAGTGAAAGTCCACCTTTGCAGTCCTTCTCACCCATTGTCCTGGGTTGTTAACAGTCGTTAACAGTGGTGTTTCTGGTGGGCGTCATCCAGATCTTTTTGGGGATGGATGAAAGGGCAGCATGATAAATGGGAGACAGACTGTATCTATGGCCTCCACCCCTGTTGAGTGAGGGATTTTTTATATGCACATGTCTGGCCTCCCTGACCCTGCTGTTAGACAGCAATGTTCACCTTTCAAAGGGTTTATCCCCTGCCACTATCTCTGACTTGTTCAATGAAATGGAAACTGGACATCATTGGTGTTTTCCCAACAGACTCCATGTTTCCTTTGAAGTTTATAAAATGTGAACTATTATTTCAAGAACCCCTTTCAATTCTTTGCTTCAGAAATCTGCTAGCTGAAAATACAGTGATGGAGTCTATTACTTATTGTGCCTAAGTAAGTCTTATTGGCCAGAATCTTATAGTGGATTTTATTGTTATGTAGGTAAATAATGTCAGCAAGTTGCAACTCATTATGGTTACAAGTGAACACAGCTACCTCTTCAAAAATTATTTTGAACATATTTTCCATGTCCCATTTCTTTCTATACTAATGGAACAATTGATACATATTTACTTTGTACAAATATAAACAATAGACGTCTGTGGACTTAGTCATCAGCTTTTGGAAGAAAAGTTTTAATGACTCATTCCATATTATGAAATACATTTCTCTTGTGTATGAGTTCAAGGGGAGGGAAGCCATACAATTTACCAGAAAGTGTGGCTCGATCTCCAATCTAATATCTGGTGAGTGGGCATAAAATTGACAGATTAAAATATTAGTAAAGATGGTCATTATGCCTAGCCGACCAGGTTAATCACTTTTCCAATTCTCTAGTCCCTTTGCTGGACTATCCTTAAGCCCAAAACACAAGAGCCAAACTGAATCATTTGTAAAAGAAACAATAATGTATTTTATTTTATGAAGTGTAAAGGTTACGTGGCACAATTCTTAGTCATTCAGTTTCTTTTGTTTTAAAGAACCAGCTTTCTAATTATAGCAAGTTCTTTTTTAACAATGTAACTATGATAGACAATTGTCTTTTGGAAACCCAGACTATTGTGCTGGTAAACTATGTATCGGCCAGCCTCCCTCCAGCCCTGTCTGTTAACTACTTCTCAACTGAAAACTCTCCCTCCCAGACTCCTTTTTGATTCCCTTGAATCCACCTGGCTAGTCGTGATTGGCTCAGCCCTGGCCAATCACCTTCTCCTTGCTGACACTGAGTGAGGGCTGCTCATCACAGTCATATACTGCAGTGGTTCTTAACCTTGGGTTACTCAGGTGTTTTTGGACTGCAACTCCCAGAAGCCTTCACCACCAGCTGCGCTGGCTGGGGGTTATGGGAGTTCAGGTTCAAAAATACCTGAGTAACCCAAGGTTAAGAACCACTGAATACTGTATAGCATTTTCAAAAATCAACATATTTAAAACCAAACAACACATTTACATAAAAAAATTACACACTGAGTGCTGTACGTATGTAGTACTCAGAAATGTGTAGTACCATGCCTGTCTTCTGAGAACACTCTGGAACTGTCCAATTTGCCTAAGGCTATGCAAGCTGCCTCCTCTGCCAGTGAGTCAGTGGGGAATCAAACTCATGTCCTCTGGCTCTGCAGCCAGCACTTATATCAAAAGCTAAAAGTACTTGATGAAACTCATATGAAGTGAAGCTTGTCCTGAAGTGGAGTATAGAGTTAAGTGATGGGAAGAACAGAAACACTGCTGAGAGGAACATGAATGCTAACAAAAGAAGCAGAATTCTTCATAGATCAAGGGCTGGTTGTCGGGGTTGGGGATTGGAGTTTCAGCTTTATACTGGCTCCGCTCTTTCCACAAGGGTCAGTCCCGAAGGGTCCAGCTAGGTGAAGTTGTTTTGTCCCCCTGGGTACTGCAATGCAGTGTCACATAGGGGTCAATCATCTTCCCTCTGCTGTTCAACGTCTACATGGGACTACAGGGAGAGATAATCCTGAGATTTAGAGTTCACTGCCATCAGCGGTTGGGGACTGGAGTTTAACCTTATAATGGCTCTGCTCTTTCCACAAGGGTCAGCCCTGAAGGGTCTAGCTAGGTGGTTTTGTCCCCATGGGTACTGCAATGCAGTGTCACACAGGGGTTAATCATCTTCCCTCTGCTGTTCAATGTCTACATGGGACTACAGGGAGAGATCATCCTGAGATTTAGAGTTCACTGCCATCAGTACACTGGTGACGTGCAGCTCTGTCCCTCCTTTTCCTCCTCAGCAGTGGAAGCTGTGCAGACCCTGGAGTGCTGCTTGGCCACTGTCATGGATTGGATGAGGGCTAACAGGTTGAAACTGAATCCTGACAAGACAGATACCCTGCTCTTGGGAAAACTGCTGTTTACCTGGTCTTGATGGGGTCACTCTCCCCCTGAAGGATCAGGTGCAAAATCTGGGTGTGCTTCTGGACTTGGCACTCTCAATGGAAAATCAGATCTCAGCTGTGGCCAGGTCTGCTTTTTACCATCTGAGGCAGACTGCATCGCTGCTATCTTGATGGGAGGTCCCTAACAATACTGGTCCATGCACTCATAATCTCAAGAATAGACTATTGCAACACTCTCTATGTTGGCTTCCTTTGAAGCTGGTTTAGGAAACTGCAGCAAGTGTAGAATGCAGCAGCCAGGCTGGTTTCTCACAATTTGATCATATTTCACTGTCCTGGCACATCTGCACTGGCTGACAGTATGTTTTGGGGGGCAAGTTCAAAGCGCTTATGCTAGCATTTAAAGCCCACAATGATTTAGGACCTTGCTACCTGTCTGAGCGCCTCTCCCTCAAAAGGCTACCTATCTCATCTGTACCTCATACACTGGCATGTTCTGGGTGGCAATACAAAGGGAGGGCCAAAAATATACCACTCAAAACCGGGCCTTCTCGGTGGTCGCTCCATCACTTTGAACTCACTACCACCTGAGGTATGATTAGCTCCATCACTCCTTGGTTTCTGTAGATAAGTTAAAACCTGGCTTTTCTCACAAGCCTTCTATGGCCTTACCTCAGAGTAATCTTGGTGATCAATGGGGCTTCCCACCCCACCCCACCCCACCCCCATTTATGTACCTGTCCTGTTTTCACCACCTAATATTATTGTATTTAACATTTTTAACATTTTACAGTCATTGTTTTTACAAGTTATTTTATTTTTTGTTATTATGTTTCATATTTACTGATTATGTGGGTGTTTTAGGGTTGTTTGTATTGTGTTATTATGAGTTATTTGCTGCCCAGAACTGTGGCTCTGCCACTAGTTAGGCAGGATTAAAGTGTGAATGAATGAACGAATGAACGAACGAACGAACGAATGAATGAATGAATGAATGAATGAATGTGAAAGTACTTAAAATGCAAACCTTTTTTAAACGACTGAACAGAATAGGTAATTGAAGGTTAGGAGTAAGGCCTCAGTGTTGTATGATCAAATCTTTAGGTCTCTGTGGGGAGAAATCACTTAAACTTTTCTTTACAGCTTTTTTTAAAAAGCTACTCTTGCAATTTCTGCTTCCAAGATTGTTAGAAAATCCAGCTGTTCTTTTCTCTGTGGCATGAGAAATCTATCATGCTGCAACTACAAAACTCACAAAGCACACTTTGTTTGGATGGCTTTCAAGCTCTAGAGTGTAGAGAGAGACAGGAAGTGAATTAGCCTTTTATTGTTAGCAACAGAATACTTGTGTTTCTTAGTATTAAGACATTTGCAGCTCTAAGGAATGTTAACATCCCTTGACTGCTGACCTCATGATTTAAGCTTGATTTAAGCAGTTGATGATTACCAAATGTTAGGAGGCATTCCTTACATCTCCGTGTGAAAACAGCATAAGGAGCACTGTTGATCACCTGATATATTTTTACAGTAATATTGAAGTTTGGAATTTTTAGTTGTGTACAGGTGGGTTATGTTGATACAGTACTATTAGGGAGCAGACCTACAGACTGACCAGAGTCCCATTTGCTTACACAATCTAAAAGCACCTCCCTCACAGGCTCACTTTTGCCCAGTTTTGCTCTAGCTACACAATTGGGTGCACAGCTGATTGTGTGATTTTTTTATGTGAAGGGAAGCCAGCAGGAGTGTGAAAAATACTACCCAATTACCATTAATGTGTTGCTTTTCTCCAGCGCAATATTGCCAATTGATTTCTCAGAAGCTGAAGGTTGTTGATTGATCATTAAACAAAATGGCCAGAATCTTGTCCCTTATTTCCATGAATGTAATTGCAATGGTGTAAACTGCAGTGTCAAATTGCCACTAATGTGTTAGTGCTTGTATTCCTTGCCATACACCAGTCTCCAACAGATGATCAGTTTTCCTGTTAGAACTCTTTTAGAGTTGAAGGGCAGTTAATCTTGAAATGTGTTGTCAGAATCTATAATCCTAAAATATATCTCCATTACAACTAGTTTCGGATCAAAGTCCCAAATAACCTATAAGTGTGACCATGCTTTTGACATCATGACATTGAAGAAAATGGAAAAAAGTGTGTGTGTGTGTGATGTGTTCTCAACCTGCATCCAAATAACTTGTAACACCACAAATATACTTGGTTTCTTCATGCCTTTCATCCTTTGTTGTGCAGAGCATCAACATGCATGCTTCTTTGCAATGTTTCCAATGTTTATTTAGCATGGTCCCAAGAGGGCTGATAAAATCATTTTCATTTTATTTTATACATGAAATCATAATATCACTGTGGGATTTTGCAGTGTGAATTGTTGCCCTCCTTTGCACCTGTAGCAGAAGCAAGTGACATTTCAGTGTTTTAAAAAAATGTTTTATACTCTTCCAGCTTCCAAACAATTTGCAGAAGAGGTCTTAAAAGCCCACAACGACTACAGGAAGAAGCACGGTGTTCCTCCACTAAAGCTCTGCAAAAAGTTAAATAGGGAAGCACAGCAGTGAGTAAAACTATTTATGTGCTAATTTAAAAATGGGCTAATGCTGTAGTGCTTGGGTTGGATATGGTGGTTATCCAGCACCTGTTCCTTCAACTAGAAAATATAGTGTCCTCCAAGTCAATGTTTTATTGTCAGGATCCTCATGACAGATTCCTAGCAGAACTAACATCTTTTACAAAAGAAAGGGTAGCGAGCAGTGACTGTATGAGAATTTCTATAAATTTACATTTGATTGGAAGAAGAAAACAACTGCTTTTTAGAGAGTTAATAATCTTTTAGAATAGGAGTTACAACCAGTGCTTGAAACAAATGAGTTATTTTTAATTAATTAGGTTTATCTTTTAATTTTTGCCTTCATTTTGGCTAGATGCAGTGAGAATGGTAAATTAATTTTATTAGGTCCTAGATAATTTAAACCCTGATATCTGAGCACTTAGCCTGGAGGCAGGCAGTGCATCACGGCCTCTTCCAATTTGAAGATACCCGTGTCCAGCAGGCTGAGGCAAAGAGGAAGTCATGAAAGCAATAAAATCAGGGAGCTGGACAGGGGACAGATTGCATTTGTCTTCAGTGTGGAAGGGATTGTCACTCTCGAATTGGCCTTCTCAGCCACACTAGACGCTGTTCCAAGTCCTCCATACAGAGCAGGTTACCACAGTCTCTCGATACTGAAGGATGCCTATCTAAAATCTAAAATTTAAAATGAAAAAGTAACAATAAATATGTAAGGGTATTTTAATTAATTAGACATAAAAGGAGTCTGAGCAGCCAGGATAAAGAAAGCCTTGCTGATCATGACATCGATAGGAGCAGGAAGTGTAACACAGAGTGATGAGAGGGAAAGAGAAGAAACCAAATCAGCTGGATCAACTAGTGCAGACCAATCCCCCCTCCAGTGGACAGCCTGTTGCTGATCTTTGTAAGCTACACTTCATAATTATGAGGTGTAAGAGGCAAAGGATGAAGTTATTCAATACTGCAGAAAAATGTATAATCTCAGAAGCACTCAAAATACTTTGTCTTAAATATTCTCCAGTCTTTATTTACTAACTGACCTTTGTAGCTGCTCACTTTTACACTTCAGTATTATACTAGCTCAGAATCTTCTAACTCTTTTTCAGTTCAAACAATTAGTCCAAAGTGTTTGAACAGAGAATATACCATATTAAGTGTTGCTGGGTGGAAAGAAGGAAAGAATTCTCCAGTCTTGATTTACTAATTGACCTTTGTAGCTGCTCATTTTTACACTTCAGTATTATACTAGCTCAGAATCTTCTAACTCTTTTTCAGTTCAAACAATTAGTCCAAAGTGTTTGAACAGAGAATATACCATATTAAGTGTTGCTGGGTGGAAAGAAGGAAAGAGAAATGACACCAGCAATAAAGCTTCATTGAACACTCCTTAGATTGGAGGTTTGTGGGAACAGTCTCCAACCTGGTACTTTCCAGACATGCTGGGCTGGAAATCATCCCATCTCCAGCCAGCAACTGAATTGTGGAATGTGTAGTCTGAAGCTTCATGGAAGAGCCAATTTGACCTAGAAAAAGTCAATTTGAAGGAATAAATAACAAAATGCTACTGGCGGAACTGTGTCAGGTACAGTAATTTATGCTATTGTCTTTTAGGAATTCCTTTAAAACCAGTGCCTTAGTGTTTAATTTTATCTTTTACTACTTATTTAAAAAATTTTACCAACTAATTTTTATTCCAAAGTAAGTTCAGTGTTTGCATCCCTTAACTAAAGCCTATTTTTGCTGATTTTTGCAAGCTGTACTGATTAGCAGGAGAATTACAGTACATGGTTTACCTCTGTTTTACCTCTTCCACACTGCACATAGGGAACTGAAAAATCTAATGTTTCCCTGTATAAAAGCAGTATGCAGAATAAATAAAAACAATAAAACAATAACTTCTAGCATGTCAGCTGAGCTTTATCCATGCTTTTCCCTTTATATTCTGGATCTCTAGGTCCCTTAACATTTTATTAGTACATTATATCTTTGTCCGTGCCTGTGCAAATGTTCCAACATGACACCTGTAACCTACTTTTTTAAGTGGCAGCATTGTGTGGGCACTGTATGATGTGTTTCTCCTAGTGCTGCCAACAGGTATTCAGCTATTCTACCTTTCCTTCTGTAGCACATTGATTCTGAAAAAGGAAAAAAGAAGCAATGGGAGAGTTAGAAAGGGAATGTATTGTATGTTGCACTTCCCGTAAAATTTCATGAGTGAGGTAGGGTGAAGTCTTATCTGGAAGCATCTTTTGAAAATTAAGATATTAATACCAGTACTTGTTAAGGAAATATGCAAGTTGATTGGGGAAGACAAAAGGTATATAGAGATGCACTGCCATTTGGAAAAAATGTGCCTTTAACATAAGAACAGCACCATGGAATAAAACTGGGACATATTGAAGGAATCAGTCACTTTGTAGGTGACACACAGTTATGGACTGCTGGCACTAATTTTAGTTGCTTTTGTGAACTTCTTCAGGTTCTTGTTCAAGAAATAGGAATAGTGTAGATGAACCCAATGCTTGTCTCTGTCTCTGAAATCCCATGAAAGACTTCAGGAAGCTTTCACAAGATTGTGTGGGCTGCAAAACAGTGACCAGCCTCCTGTTGCTTAGTGTAACAAATCACACCCATTGAATCAGCTGGGATTTGATGAGTCATCTCTGTAAGTTCCATTGATTGGAATGGACCTACTTTAATTGTGACATACTAAAATAAGCTGCATATAGAGTAGGCCCATTTCAATCAATGAAAAAACTTACAGAGAAGGTCATTCACTAGACCCTCCCACTATTCCTGTGTCGGATGCAGATGGAAGCTCAGGGAAGAGACAGCTCAGGCTTTTGCTCCACTGCTATGAAAAATGAATGAGCAAGGTGAAGCAATGAGGCTGAAGACACCAAAAGACAACAGGGCCTGAGGGGGAACCAGGACAGAAGCCCTTTTAATGCTCTTTGTTATAGCTGAAGTAGCTGTATATCACTGTCCTGCTCTTCTCCTGTGTTTTAGTGCCCATGCTTATATGTTCTTTCTGTGTTTCCACAAATTCTGCAATGGATGGTCTTCAATCTGTTCTAAAATATTTTGCATAAACAGAAAAGGTTTTTTTACTGTTATGGAATGAACATATTGTTTTTGTTCATCAAGGTATTCAGAGGCACTTGCTAGTACAAGAATTCTCAAACACAGTCCTGAATCTAGCAGTGGGAAATGTGGAGAAAATTTAGCATGGGCTTCATATGATCAGTCAGGTAAGACCGATATTTATTCCTCTATACAAATTGCTGAGAAGGCTGTAATGCTCATGCATTTTATTCCAAAAACTCCCAAGAATTCCAATCAAAAGGTTCATAAATCTGATGGATTGATAATGTTGATAATGATCAGTCCTTGATTAACATACCTCTAAATCCCTTCAATTCCCAAAAACTAATATATAGAGAATAAATATTTTCTTAGATATTCCAAGTGAAATTACTCTTGTTGCTAGTATGTGTAGATTAAAAAAAGGATAGCAATGCAGTGTTTTCTGTTTCAGAAGCCTGGGTCAATTCTTGGGGGACCACTTTTCTCTGCTTCATTAAGTGGTTCTGTTTAATCTTAGAATACAGTGGCAAACAGGGTACTTAGATTCGATGGTGTGTGAAGGTTCTGTTCAACAGGCTTCCTTCATAGACAGAGTAGCTCATCCAGAGCTCTAAATGTGATCCAATATACACACAAAGCCACTGCCTGACCTTTCTTAGTTGCTTCAGCAAAGCAGCATGTATCTCTGCATGCCTTCCTTGGTGTGAATATCCAGTTCCTTGATGTAGATATACCTTATCTTCACTAAAATGAGCAGTCAAAATTTTGTACAGCGAGTAGCTCAGTACACTTGTAATTTTGATATGATGGGTTGTGAAAGCTGTGCCCTGTAAGAAGTGCTGAAGTGGAGAGTGCAGGGGTCACATTGCTTCTAGAGTGAGCTGTGCCTTGTCCAAGGACATGTATAAGCTCCCTTTGCTAACAAGAAATCCAGTGGTGGCTGGTGACACCACTTTTAAATGGAGCGTGAATCCATTCCAGGTTTTCATCTGCACTTGACTAGTACTGACCCTATTTTATGGATAAGGTTCAGAACCTTGGATAGCTGTTGCGAACTGCAGACAAAACCTGGAGTGGTTTGACCCAGCAGTTGGAGTTGCCAGCAAGCATTGAAGAAATACCACATACCCTCGGCCCCAATTATTTCTGGCTGGCTGGTGCTGGTATCATTTGATGCTTCCTCCTTTTCCCATCCTGATACTTCATCCCACACCATTCCCAGGGATGAGTGAATCAATCTTATTCTCTTATGGTCACTCATATACACATCCCATTTCTACATTCGTCTGTGGGGGATTTTTTTTTAAACCCATCTAATAATCCACCTAATTTCCCTCTGCCAAGGCCAGTGCATAATAAGGTTTCAAATCCTGTATTAGTCTGGAAGGAGCAGATCAGGTCTCTTGATACTGAGATCTGTAAAAATCAGATTCCTCAAGTATCCCTATTCTTTTCCTGTTTTTCCCATATATTTTTTGTCAGGAAGAAAAATATACCACGTCTTCTAGAGTATCTGTTTTGCCAGATTTTAATTGTATGCATTAACCCTTGTTGCTCTGTCTGTCCTTCCTATAGGGCAGTTGCAATTCAGTATTAATTATATAGCCTTATATAATTAATTGATCCATTTTGAATGTTGCATTTTGCTAATAGTTACTGCTGGTTTATTGCTTCCAGCAGTAAACAACAGTTCGCTTCCATTCAAACCTATATCTGAAATTTGTTTGGCTATACAGTTCTGCCTGTGCAAAAAATGGAAAACAGGCATGTAATAGAATATTTACTATGAATAGAGTTCTTTAATATAAACAACCACTGAGAGTTATAAATATATGGCATCCCTAAACTGTCCTTCTTAGTCCAAAAACAATGACTGAGGCCTTTGAAAGTGACTCTCAGGTTAAACTGATTTTGATTTTTTCCTTCTTGAACACATGACACCTATGGTCTGCATAGAAAGAAAACTACATGCACTGTCTCCTATATTTCTTAATCACCTTGCATACTCTGGTGTTAATAAGTTTGGAGATGGTCAGGAAAAATGGCACACCTGCTTGTTAAGGAGATTGATCCAGTATGCAAGCTGAGCCCTAAACAGGAATGTTAGGTAAATCAAGAGATGGGTAAAGGTAAAGGTAAAGGTTCCCCTTGACAATTTTTGTCCAGTCGTGTCCGACTCTAGGGGGCGGCGCTCATCCCGCTCTTCAAGCCATAGAGCCAGCGTTTTGTCCGAAGCCAATCTTTCTGTGGTCACATGGCCAGTGTGATTTAGACACGGAATGCTGTTTACCTTCCCACCGAGATGGTACCTATTTATCTACTCGCATTTGCATGCTTTCGAACCGCTAGGTTGGCGGGAGCTGGGACAAGCAACGGGCGCTCACTCCGTCGCGTGGATTCGATCTTACGACTGCTTGGTCTTCTGACCCTGCAGCACAGGCTTCTGCGGTTTAGCCCACAGTGCCACCACGTCCCTTTATAGATCAAGAGATGGATAACTGTGTTTTTCTAAAATAACCTGACATTTTGTGGGAAATGTGTTGCTGAATAGATCATATTTATCACATATCACATCCACTCCTACGCAATTCACAGTGGCATACACAAGGGTTCTCCCATTTTAACTGACAGCAATACTGTGAGTTTCTCTGCTGAAGGTGAAAGATGGTGATTTGCCCATCAGTTACATACACAAAAATCTAACTGTAGGATTCCTGGCCAATCTGTAACATTTTCCCCTGCAGCTTTGTCTGCTTCACCCATCACTCAAATATACTGAGCAGCTGAAAGTCATTGCTGTTCATCTTCCCAAGAACACACACAAAACCTAAAATGTTTACAGGTTATCACGCATAAGTAAAAGCTAGTGACTGGAGCTCACCTCTGTGTCCTTTAGACCAGCTGTTAGAGTAGAAATTATAGGCATTATCTGCAGTGCATAAGAGCACATTTTTGACCATGGCTGTAAACACAATATGAAAGAAACACAGGCTGAATCATGATTGTATAAGTTGCATAACAAACTTTATAAGGGTGTGTGTGAATAATTGTTTCCAGTCTGTGGTCCCATTCAAATGTGTCAGGGGCCCCGGGGGGCCATATGACCCTGGTTGAAATTGGCTGATTTAGAGTAACAATATATAAATATATATTGCTAAAATAGTTTAAATGAATACTGATAACCCATAGCTAACGTATCTTAGAAAGTAAGATTAGACTGATGATGTTTTTGCAGATGTTTTTGCAGAGTTCATTCCATTCATTGTATGGCATCTATAAATTTATCTTTCAGGAAGTGAAGTAGCTGAGAGATGGTATGGTGAAATTAAAAATTACAATTTTCAGAGTCCAGGATTTTCATCTGGCACAGGTAAGTCTGGGCTTCACATTTCATATTTACAGATAGCTTTAAAGGACGTTCTGGATTTCCATCATATTTTTAAAGAATCAAGCATTTGCATAAACAGTTCTTGATAACTGAATAGAAGAATAAAGTGTGCTTTTTGAACTTTGACAGGAAAGTGATAGTGGGTGGACAAACTTTTGACTCACACAAGCACAAAGAAACAATGTGTCATTTTAAAATATTCTTCTGCAATTTTAAAGGGTTTTGATTCCAAAGACATGCATAGATTGTTTGTTTACTATTTATTTGAAAATGGCAGGAAAACTACTTAAAACAACATTGTGTTAACCTGTGCACCAACTTGGGTTTTCTTTCCAGAAATTATGGGTGTTATCTGGAATGCATAAGAGCAGAGTTTTTGCTGTTCAGTAATTTAGCCTGTACTAAGCATACTTGGAAACTACAGTCTACAGGCAGAAGGAATGGACAATGATTTTCAAAGAGATAAGGGAAATTATGGGTATTGAAATACAAAGGTGTCCAATGATAACTCTATTAAATATGTTTGGAAATATTCAATTAGAATGGCGGGGGGAAGAACTAATCATTATTATGTTAACAGCTGCGAGGTTGATTTTTGCAAAGAACTGGAAAAATAATCAGTTTAATATAGAGGATTGGTATAAAGAAATGTGGAATATGGCTATTAGTGATAAATTAATATATGAACTGAAAGTTAGAAAAGTATTATTGAAATATATTAATATTAATATTAATAATAACAATAGCAATAACAACAACAATAATAATAACAATAACAATAATAATAATAGACTTTATTTGAAATTAAGTACATAGCACCATGTGTCTCATTGTGAGCAGTGATGGGTAGCTACAGATTGTTAGGAATTCAAGACTTTCTTCCCCTAGTGTCATTCTCCTCATTCCCTGTGTATTCTCCCTCCAAGCTCCAAACTGAAGAATGGTGCCGTGTGCTTGAAAGAAATTCTGTTATGTCCTTTCTGCAAGGAAATAATAAATTGTCTACAAGGCTCAGAGCTGATTTCTTGTCTAGCAATATATTGAAAGACTGTGGAACGCAACTTGCATTTTCCTTATATTCTGGGATGCTCCAAGTGGGTTCTTGGTATAAAGGGTTAATAGAAATATATTACTGGAAGGAATTAAACTATTAAATACTGCCATTGAATGTCTTTAACACATACCATTTCTTCTGGCATTATTTGTTTTTTGAAGGAAAGGGCATTTCTGCCTTTGGAACTGTCCCTAATTGAGACATTTATTCAGTTTGTACTAGGTTAACAGGCGTTGACAATGTTGAATCAGGTAAAATAGCCTAGCAAAATACATAGAGAACTATGAGTGTGGAAGTTTCTTGCTGACAAAGAATGAAGAAGGACTGAGAAAGCAGGCATCATTCACAGTACTTTTCTACTGCCCAGAGAACATTACTTACAGTATTATGTGATCTAAAAGTGTGATAGATAGATAAATACTTGGAGAGAGATAGAGGCAAGCAGGATACAACCCAGTGGAATCAGCACTTCTGGGAATGCTGTAAGCCTTTCGGAAAAGTTTAATTGTCCTATGCCACTTGTAATTCTTTATAAAATCATGGAGAGGGAAGCTTAGCAGTTGGTTTGGGGTCATGGCAGCTGGGTACTTTCCAAGAACAATAACACGTAAACATAGTATCAGCTGTCCTCCTCCCTCTCGGCTATGGCACAGACCGGGCCAGAAGGGGCACAAGCTGTGGAGTCCACTAATAACATTGGACTTGATTCCTGAGATCTTAATGGCTTATTTGATAGCTTGGACAAGATTTGCAGGAATGGCAAGTTGAGGAAGAAAATGTCATGGCTGCTCATCAGCTCTGGACCATTTAAAGGACCCGAAGAGGCTGGTGTGGTGACGAGAATAGAGAAGGAGAGGACACTACTATTTCTGATGAGCTAGAGAGAGCATAGGGTGGTAAGAAGTAGCACTAGTTCCACAGAAGGCATCCTCACAGCGGTAAAACTGACTGCTGACACATGACCTGCTACTAGAGGACCTGCTGGTTTTTCCAGCAGAACAACCATTACTCTGCCTTCCCTGCTTCTACCTCCATAGCAGATTCCATGCAAGGAAGGCAAAAAGACAACAGTTTCGTTGCTGAATGGCTAGAGAAACATGCAATCATATACACCAAGCCAGCGAAACAAAGCGACTCCACTACTAGTCTGCTTGGGAGCTGAAATAACATTAAACCCAGCGGGTGCTACAACCAAGGAGCAAATATAACATTTTCAGCTTCCCCATTTGCAATTTCTATTTGAGTTCTTAGTGGAAGTCAAAAATTTTAAGGTTCTTAAGCTACAAAAGCCAGTTTTACATCTAAATTTGTAATGTTTCTTTCATCGTTTATTTTTCTGAGGTCAAATCCTGCAAAACCAGCCTCAAAATTAGATTGAGAGGTATCTGTGAAAGAAGAAAATTGTATCCTGGTAATACAAGACAAAACAGGACATGAATATGAATGTTACATGTCTTACATAAGAGTTCTTTTGTGTAAACGTTCCAGTCAGTATTTTTCATGTTTGTAGATGTGCATTTTAGGAAAATTCAGTATTGCTAAAGGGAGTCTCTCATTATTTGTCCCATATATGAGTTCTATATGTGGAAAGGCAAGTTTTCCATCAGACTTCCTTTCGGCTTTCTTTAATTATCCCGGCTTCGGGGAGGGGGAGGGGGACCTAAGGTGCCCTGCAACATAAGGAAAACCTGAGTTATTGAAAAAGTTGCATTTGCAACAGGAAGACCAAATTTATATGAGGATTGTATATGCTGAATTATTTTAAACAACACTTATTTATCTCTGTTTTGTTATACTGTACCATTGTTTTGTTATTATATTGGTTTATACGTATGATCAATTTTGTTATGGCCCTATGTGTAGCTAACTAGAGTACATCTTTACATTTCTAATGATCTACAGAACAATTGTTCTTTCCTTCAAAGTTACAATCAAGAAATCACTCAATTGCACAAAAAAGCAACACCCCATATTTACCACTCCTTAACTGCTTTTAGCAGAGGGACGTGGTGGCGCTGTGGGCTAAACCGCAGAAGCCTGTGCTGCAGGGTCAGAAGACCAAGCAGTCGTAAGATCGAATCCACGTGACGGAGTGAGCGCCTGTCACTTGTCCCAGCTCCCGCTAACCTAGTGGTTCGAAAGCATGTAAATGCGAGTAGATCAATAGGGACCACCTCGGTGGGAAGGTAACAGCGTTCCGTGTCTAAGTCGCACTGGCTATGTGACCACGGAAGATTGTCTTCGGACAAAACGCTGGCTCTATGGCTTGGAAACGGGGATGAGCACCACCCCCTAGAGTCGAACACGACTGGACAAAAATTGTCAAGGGGAACCTTTACCTTTAACTGCTTTTAGCAGTCTACCTGAAATCAGCCATTCAGTATCCCTGTGATCTTGCTCTGTCTGCCCTGCAGCCCTTGTCCAAAGCTAATGCTTTTTATGTGGATGTTTCCTTTAGGTCACTTCACAGCAATGGTCTGGAAGAACACAAAAAGGATGGGGGTTGGAAAAGCAGCAGCAAGTGACGGCTCTACATTTGTGGTGGCAAGATACGAGCCTGCTGGCAATATCGTAAACCCTGGTCACTATGAACAAAATGTTCTTCCTCCAAAGAAATAACTCCATCCGGATTTGGGGAAAGTGCTGTTTATAGCAGCCAGTGAAAAGCAAAAGTGGGGACCTATTGGAATTGATTGGACAGAATTTTAAATGGAGTCAGATGATTGTGCATGCTTGAAAACAAAGTTCAGAACATGGGTGCACAACCCTTTTGGCCCTCAGGCTGAAGGCTGGGTCTCATGTCGGTAGTGGGTCCAAGGATTAGATAAGAGTGTGTACATGCATGTTTCCACATATCTCAATATAAGAATGGGAGGCTTACACATTCTTGTGCTGCTTGATGAAATTTAAGGGTCACTGAAGACTGGTGGAAATGAAAATCTCTTCCATTCTCCAATTATCTTCACTGAGATAGCTGTTTCCCCATTGCTAATAATGGCTAGAAAGTAATCATCTCTGAAGCCAGGCAACAGGATTTCCTCCCTGAAGCCCAGCTTTTCCAAAGGAATTCAGAAGAGTCCCCCCTGCTTCAGGGGTCACACAGAGCATTGGGAAAAGATGCATGGAGCCCATGAGGCCCTGGGTTGTGCACCCCTGGTTTAGAACTTACTAAAGAGACAGCAACTTCAGTTATGTATAACCAAGATGCAATCCTGCCTGCCAAAATGGACTTTTGTGTGGAATCGATGTGGAACTATAGATAACCTGCAGCTGCCCAAAATGTGGAATATGCCAAAAAAATGAAGCTTTTATGAGATCACTGTGGTTTGTAAAACTTTGTATTTTGAGTAGGATCACTTTTAAAAAGACATTTATAAGTGTAAAATGATGCTTTTCCTAGGTTTAGACAGTTTCTACAATTTTTTATTAAGTAAACAATTCCATCCATCCAGGGGGAAATACTCTGTTGCAGCACGTTTAAAATATGTGTACCTTTTATTGTATTGTTTAACGGAGCAATCTCTCTAGCCCTGACCTACACTAAAAGTTACAGTTATGTTCTGTGACAAATCATACTTGTTGAAATCATTTTCTTGGATTGGAATTGGCATGCGTTCAACAAAACCTGTAATCTTATTTATAATTGACATGGTGTGCTGTTTGCCCAAAATATTCTCCACAGCTAAAATTTGAATTTAAGCCTAAGATAAATTTACTTATTATTGATGCCTAGCTAGCAGGTGTCACTCTGCATACAGTTGAACATGCATGAGATTCCTGGATGCCAGGTAGCTACTTCTACTTAGGACTTTTAAAATTCTCTCGAAGTGGAGGGGAAAATCCAAAATGGAGTACTGTTTGTAGAATCCAGCTTTCTGATGGTCTGCACATGAAATAAAAACAAGCATGGCTGTGACTGCGTCCACAGGGCCTAATGGGGTGCAGCAGCAAGTCAGAGGCAGCCTTTTTGAGTAAGTTTAACCACAATGTGAGTTACAAGTTGCAGTGGTGCTGGCCTGCCACGGTCCTGGATCCAAACATTGAACAGTCTGACTACTGGCCAGCTCATTTTTCACCCCATTTGACTGCTGGATATACCACATTGGGGAATATCAGGAAGCCCCAGCTGCTCCTGGAACCAGGATGTGGAGCAAGCACACCGGCTCCAAACTAGAGAATAACCCCCAGGTTCTCTTATGGGGAACCCTGTCGGGAGAGTAGGTTGTCACAACACTGTTTCTGAAAGTGACCAGACCATATACCTTCAGCACCTCCAGTAAAACATGACTGAGTTAGTGAAATGAACAGATCAATGTGTACAATTATTCCCAAGGTAGACCTGTGGTGGGCCCAGCCAGTCTTTCTGCCTACAGAGACAGAAGAAACTAAACTGATACCTTGGCAAGAAAATTTTATGCTGAAATTTGCAAATTCTATTCTGCCTTGTTAGGACTCTTATAATAGTCCTCACATCTGGCTTGAAGTTTTGGAATTGTTAGCTTAATCTCCAAATTTCATACCATCTGTGCCTGAGGAAAAGTTTTATAGAACTCAAAAGATTGCCTTGTTCAGAACTTTTTAGTGATCCAGTAAATGTATTACTCAACCCAGAAGTCTATACGATTGCAGACACATTAGTTGCTACAAAGCTGAAAACATCAGACTGAAAACTCTGCTAACAGGTCCAAAGAGAATTCCTGCCTGGACCCACCAATCAGTGCCTAAGGAATATCCATAGCAGGCGACAATATTAACATACAGATGACAGGCAGGGACATTTTGACAGTAATGGCCTCCATTAAAGTCTAAAGAGCAGTCCAAAAAGAGGGGTTATTTGTTTTCTCTAACACATACATGCACTGAGACATTCTAATGCTGAATAGCTTTTGGTGGGAATCTCACTCCCACTGCCGCATACCAGCCGCAAGTGGCTATACCCAGATGCTCCTCCTGTCTTTTTGTCTTTTTGTGTTGTACAAGTACTTAAATGCTTAGGAGAGCATGAAAATCAGAAGTATGCTTGAATCAGATTTCTAGTGATTGGGGTCTTGGCTTCAGTGCCTTGCCCAGTTTCTTGATTCTATAATTAGCAGTCAGAAGAAACTATGGAAAGAAGGGAAAGCATGCAAATAGAGTTGTGTATAGTGTGTGCTGCTTATAGAATTTATCTGTGTTACAGCATTTGGATTCATTGTATGCATTAAAAATGGGGCTGGGTGTGCACAATTCTACTATAAATATGGTACAACTGACAATTTACACAAGAAAAATGTTCATGCTGGTTTATATTGAAAACACATTACAGTAGCAGAAGCCTTGCAGCAGCGCTGGAGAACCTTTAGCTCTGCAGTGTTCTGGATCCTATGGTACCACGGTGTATGAGTCCCAGAAGCCCTAGTCAATAGAATCAATGGCAGGGGGATATTATGTAAGTTTTTAATCCAAAATATCAGGAGGGTAGAAGGCTCCCCACTCAGCATCTATGTTGGGATTATTCTTCTATCATTTAAAATTAAAATCATTGTTCCCCTACGTCTCTGCCAACTTAAACGTACCTGAAAAACGATTTGATGTAATCATCTCACCTACAACACCATTCCCATACCTGAACTATTAAATATGTCATTGAAAAGGAGGGGCTTTGTCTGTGCTGCAACTCCAAGGGATGGGACGAAAACCCAAGAATATGGTTTTAGAAATGGGACAGCTTCCTGGGAAATTCATGTTTTCATATAAAAAAAGAAAGCTGCAAAGATAAATGTCACCAAACACAGCTGTGCCTCTAACATTTTCAGTCCTTATTGTTAGTGTCGATATTGGGACTGGGGTTTGTTTTTCACGGAATTGATAAAAAACAACTATGCAAGACAGAGTATGTAGTGCAAAATAAGAGGAATTATTAAAATATGTTCATATATGAAAATCAATGCACCACAGAATTTTGCTTTAATTACAAAATTGGGATTCTCTGCAGAGCAGTTTTAATATAATCAAATAGAGGGTAAATAGAATACTCATTGTGGTGTAGTGCAGCGGTCCCCACATATAATCAAATAGAGGGTAAATGGAACACTCATTGTGGTGTAGTGCAGTGGTCCCCAACTTAAAGTTTCCAGATGTTCTTGTACTACAACTCCCAGAAGCCTTCACTACCATCTCAGCTAGTCAAGATTTCTAGGAGTTGAAGTCCAAGAACATATGGAGGCCCAAGGTTGGGAACCACTGGTGTAGTGGATAGAATAATGGACTAGGACTCAGGAGGCTTGAGTTCAGATTTCCACTCAGTCATGAGAGTGTGGATCTGCTAAAACCACATCTTATATATCTCACCTTATAAGCTCTACTAAGGTCACCTTAAGTAGGTTCTGACTTGGCAATATATACTTGATTTTAGTACTTTCATACATCTGAAATACAGCCTCAAAAACAAAACTGGAAGCGGTGGATATAGGATCTTGCTTGAAATTTGAAACTTCTCATCTGGAAAATTCCCACTGGCCTTACTGTGCCAGAAGTTTCTCATGGCCTGATTCAAGTTGAGGAGCATCGATTTCATGAATATGAAGTTTCTGCATAAAAAATAATGGAATATGGTGCTAAAAAGAATCCAAACCAGTATAGGCTTAGAATTGCATAATCACATGATTGAAGTGCTGTTATATCTCATCCCATTAAAATGAATCCAGGAACTCAATACATCATAATATTGGAAAATAAAATATTTTTCATTAGAAATATTTAAAAACAAATCATAACGGTAATTTAGGAATGTTGTCAATGCACTTAATTTGGCATGGAAGAAAACATGTTTGGAACTTCAAGAGGAATTAGGAACACTTTTGGAAACTGATGTAGTTGACCAATCATGCCTTATAATTTTTGTATTTAAAGTGGAGAGTTTGATAGGCTCTCTGAAAACGTGAAACACAAGCCTTCTGGCTCCTTCCTCTCAAGCTTAGGCTCTACAGCAAGATACCTAAACCACTGAGCTATGCAGCCAGCACACTTTAAGACCAACAAGTCTTACTAGTCATGGGCTTTTGTGAACGTAGCCCACTTGCTGGGAACACAGCACTCAGATACAGAAAATATAATTGTATTATCACTAGACATAAACTTTCAAAGTTCTGATTAGCATGAAAACTCTGGCAACATTAAGCCAGCCTCGCACAAATTACTCTGTGGCACTGAAAGCAATGAATTCTTTTAAGAGACTTTTTGTTTTAGCTGAGACAAGAATTGGCCTGTTTTGTCTCATAGGCCTTTTGGAAAATCATTTAACCCAGCAGGGTAATAACACAGACAAACTGCATGGATGAAGTGATTAATATACCGTATTTTTCTGTGTATACAACCCCCCAATGTATAAGATGACCCTGTAATTTTTACCCCTGCTGGAGGCAGAGGAGTAGTCAATGGGCAGCCTCCATCTCCTGCTGCTGCTGCCTCCAGCTCACATCGCTACCTTGTCCCCTGCCCGAAGGTGACGATCGCTGGAGGAGGCGATCCAACAGCAGTGGCAGCAGACAATGGGCAGCAGCAAGAGGCGGCTGCTCCCTTGCCTCTGTCTCCGCCTCCTACTGCTTCTGCTGAGCTCACGAGTGGCACTGGAGGAGGCGATCCAGCAGCGGAGGCAGCAGCAGCAGGAGGCAGAGACAGAGGCAACGGAACAGCTGCTCTCGGCCACCTCTCGCTGCTGCCCATTGCTGCCGCCACCACCAGATTGCCTCCTCCAGTGATCGTCTCCTTCAGGCAGGGGACAAGGTAGCGATGTGAGCTGGAGGTAAGCCCCGGAAGTGGCACTGGAGGGGGCAATTGGACAGCGGAGGCAGTAGTCAATGGGCAGCCATGAGAAGCAGCTGAGCGCAGCTGCTCCTCCGCCTCCGCCTCTTGCTGCTGCCTTCCATGTCTAAAACAACCCTCAATTTTTCCTCTGTTTATTTTAGGGGGAAAAAGTCACTTTATACATGGAAAAATACAGTATATGTGGTGAGATAAGAATCTCACCTGTATTCAGGTCAAAAATAGTAAAGTTGAACCTCTTGATGTATTTTTGGATAGCTGTTTCCCTTTGCAATTTGATTTTGAATATAGGTACATATTTCTTTGGTCCAAGCACAGCTGCTTTGAGATCAGAACGAGAGTGTCCAGAGTCACTGAAATGTTCACCCAGTGGTTTCTGAATATTCCTGTTTCTAATGTCAGTTTCATGTCCATTTATTTTTCTGTGCAGAGACTTATCTATTTGTCCTGTGTAAGATGCTGTTGGGCAACACATGACATAGTATCTCATTGGAAGCTGAGTAGTAGGGGTATGCCATTCTTTGGTAGTTTTGTTTTTTGTTTTTGGGACTCCAGCTCCCAAAATGCTCCAAGAAATCTCCAGGAAAAATTCTGGAAGTTCCAGCCCGCAGGCCCACACCTATGGACCTACATTTCACTTTCCTGGAATAGGCATTATCTTCCAGTCTACTTTCCTTACACAAAAGAAATTGCCCCAGTGCTTCCTGGGGGACCTTTATGGGAGGGGTAGTCCTGGAGGTACCCTATGTAGAGCCCAATGAAACTTGTTTGTCTTGAAGATGTGACTAAACATTTGTTATTGCAACAAATTTCACATAGAAGGAAACAAAAGGATCCTGTAGAACCCCTTGCCACAGAATGTGGTGATGACATCTGGCCTAGATAACTTTAAAAGGGGATTGGACTGATTCCTGGAGGAAAAGTCTATTGCAGGTTACAAGCCATGATGGGGATGTATAATCTCCAGGTTTAAAAGGAAAGTACCTCGAAATGCCAGATGCAGGGGAGGGGTATCAAGAGACAGGTATCTAGTTGTCTTGTGTGCTTCCAGAGGCATCTGGTGGGGCCACTGTGAGATACTAGATGGGCCCTTGGCCTGATCCAGCTGGGCTC